TCTTCCGAGGATCATAGCATTTCTCTTCCTATGCCTTTGTATTTGATTCTGGTCCCTATATCTAAACTGGGCTTCTTTCTTCTTCCTTTAGCTGCTTCTCTACCAGTATGTCTTCTAATAGGTTGCTGCTCTCAGGAGGCCTCCCTTCCTCTGTCCATGAAGTCATCAACCTCTTCAGTTTCTCATCTAAAACTTTCTTCATCTGTCTAACCTTTCCTGAACTATTGCAGCCTTCTGCTTTGTCAATGATCCCCCTTCCCATTCTCTTTCTCATTATTTCTTATGAATTCCTCTCATGTGCCTCATTGTAGTCCTGTTCATACAGTACAAACCATATGCACTCTGAGCAGGCCTTGTTCCACATTTATGTTCTGTTTATTGTTTAGCACGCTAATGGCACTGGATAAACACTGAATAAACAGCACTACAGCTAGTAGTAGTAGTGTCCTATCTAATAATCACATGGCTATCTTGATCCTTTTTGTGTGTGTGTCAGGGGTCATTTGGGGGGGGGACGCGGGGGGACGCCATCCCCCCGGGTGAGGTGCGGGAGGGCGGGGCCTGGAGCTCCCTGCTGGTGCCCGCTGGAGGTCGCCGCCGGCTGTGGGGAGGACACACTTCCGGTGATGTCAGGGGGGGTGGCATATGCTAATGAGTTATGCTAATGAGTCCCCCTAGCTCTTTTTCTACGAAATGACCCCTGGTGTGTGTAATATGCCTACTTATGGTTTGGGCTTCTAAGAACCAAATTAGAAGTGACAGCACCCCCAAGTCCAACAGGGGAATGCCTCCACCATTTTAGGAATGAAATTCCCTCTGTTTACAAGTGCTACTGGGCCAATCAAGACTGAGACCACAACAAGGTGGAGGAGGGGCACCTATTACCCCACCCCGCACACCATTTTCAAGAGCCCTAATGCCAGGGGTTTGGGCTCTTGAAAACAGCACTTGGCGGGGAGGGACACGAGAACCCCCCTCCCCCCCATGCCACAGTCCTAACAGTGGCGGTTTCCCCATGGTAAACTTGGGGATGCTATCACATCTAGTTTGACTCTTAAGTAGTTTAATTTCTATGCTGATTTTATTATACAATTATGATAAAATTTGTACATTGGCAAATTCACATATAATTAAGATTCATCTTTTACTCACAGTACTTGAAGGTTAGGGAGTTGTTCACAGACTGTTTCAGGAAGAGATGTGATCTGGGCTCCTGTTAGGGTGCTGTTAAGAGATTACAGACAGATATGGTGCAATGCTTATTAACCAATAGCCCAATCTGCAACCAAAGTAAACTAAACTGCAAGAATAAAATTCTGTTTAGTGCCACAAGCTCAGTTCATAGCTTAACAGGCTGGCAGTCCTCTTTACACAGAGGGGGGAGCACATGCACACTTTTTCTGTCCTTCACTTGGCACACATGTAGACTCCATGCCAGGGCACAATGTACACGATTCTTCCCTCTGAAAAGAAAGTGGGTGGAAGCCCATGTGAAGAATCAGGCTTAAGTATATCTTGGTCTTTGTATGGGGCACTTGCCTCAGATGATACACTGTGTGCATGCTGGGGGGGGGGGGGACATCTTCCCCATTGTGCGAAGAGGATTGTTGGCCTGGTAAGTAAATTAACTCAGTCACAGAATCAAAGGGATCAAACTAGCTCAAATCTAAGTACTTTGGCTTAAACAGGTTGCGGATTGGATTGCAAATGGCTGGTTGAAGGACAGCTCGTTTAAAGCAAGTCAACATCTGCACTAATTAATGCCATCTGCTTTGAGGGGTAACATGAACTATCTGTCTGGTACTTACAGGCTTTCCAGACTTCTTGTCCCGGTCAGATCAGGGAACTCTGTTATCTGTGATGCACCATTTAAAGTCCTAAAGTTACAAACATATCATTAATGGGATTTCTTTTAAAAATAGGAGTGAATAGGTTGCTGTGCAAAGGTGATGCTTCAAAAATATGAATACATACAAGGTTCTGAGTTCAGGTAAATGCTGAAAAGCAGACTTCCCCACAATCTGAATAGGATTGTCATAGAAATGGCTGTGAAGAAGAAGAAAGGACAGATGTAACACTCAAGGTTTGTATCTTATAACAGCTGTGCAATAAACTGGACGATTCTCATAAAGCCTTCACAACCTTGCCTACAACCTGTTCATTAAAGCTCTCTCCAGGAGGGCTGATAATTATAACATGCCACAAACAGATTTCCCGTTTCTTAAACTTTCTTCACAGATTACAATGATGTGCTTATTATGGCTAGGCCCAGTTAAAAATTTATGGGTTTAGTGTTGACCACGAATAACATGTTTAGAGTAGGAATGAGATTATTGCAATGAGCATGTGAGATAATGCTCTAAGTGCCTGTCGCAGGCAGCAGCTACAAAGGTTCTCTAATGGCTGCTACCACTCTGTTATGGGTCTGGGCGTGAGGGCCCAGGCAGAGTAACAAACTATTTTTATTAAAGAGGTTTAACAACAACTGTAATTCAATAACATGTAGGAAAAATGGTAAAGGTACCTAGCCTGTACTGTACCTAGGTATCTGACCTCACGCCAACTCACCCCTTTTGGATGAGGGATCATTCCAGCTGCAGCAGCTTCACATTAGCTCTGCTTCCTAGGAGTGAACCACCTTCCACTTTGGGCAAAACTGTTTATCACTTCTTCCCAGGCAACACCCTCTACTATTCTACCGGTGTAAGTTTTCCTCCAGATCCCCTGTTAGCCAATCACAGGGTGACCTGGGAAATATAGGCCCTGATAGCTACTCTAGTACAGGCTTCCCTGGAGCCACTAGGCCTCCCTAGACCCTGTAGGGTGCACTACTATAGGCCTAGGATCATAGAATCATAGAATGTTAGAGTAGGAAGGGACCTTCCAGGTCATCTAGTCCAACCCTCTGCACTCTGCAGGAGCATGACAGTGTCCTAAAGAAAACTGTTCATATCAGCCTAACTGGTGCGTCATTGCTCTCAAGAGCAAGCCCTGTATGAAAAAGGTTCAAACTGTAATTTTTTAAAACTTTGTTCACTGTTTCACACTGTAATGCTTTTGCTGAACCAAGTAAGTTATTTTTGCAAATGAATATCCACATGTCTGACTTTGTCATTGGCCCAATACAGTGAAGGCTTACATCATTCTCCTCTTAAATGTTATTGTAAGCAGGGGTGCCATGGCACCAGTGTTCCCGCTAAGCTGAGTTAGTGTGAGCTAGCTCACAGTTTTTTATCCTCTGGCTCACACATTTTTGTCTTAGCTCAGGAAGGATGGCTCCAGAGCAAACTAATCGATGCAGGAGCCAAATCACTCGCTCACAACTTTAATGCCAGTAGCTCACAAGGTAGTATTTTTGCTCATAAGACTCCGCAGCTTACAGGTAGCATTGCATGGCACCCTAAATAGTGGACAGGGCACCCCCCCACCCTGGAAAGCCAAAACCCATTGATAGGGCAGGGATGGGTGGGTCCCAGCTTCCCATGCTCACTGCCGACCCGCCCCCTCCACCCAGCAGAGGCCGGAATGGCTGTCCTTGCTCTTCCACTCCCCGTGGCACTGCAAACAGGACCTGGGTAAGTTCCGGGCCCCGACGTTCAAGGGTGTAGGTCACAACCCAAATGTGGGTCATGAAGCCTGTGAAAGTGGGTCCCAGGCTTTTGCAGTTTTATTGATCTGTTGCATGCTCTGTTTTTTTAAGTGGGTCACCGGTGATGGACAGCCTCTAGTTCCAACCTCTAGTCATCCCAGCAAATCCCTGCCTAAAGGGGAAGTAGGCAGATACAAAGTGGCATCAGCCAATGAGAGACTGTGGAACCTCTAGAAGGGAGAGTAGGGAAAGTCTGTCATTACCTCAGACAGAGCTTGGGGAAGCAACACAGAAACAGGGAAAACTACCAGGAGATTAGTTAGGCTTTGTCCAGTGAAGGAAAAGAACACAGACAACTGTAGTATAAGTACATAGGGCTCTGGGGACAATAAAGAGGCAGGAATAGAGCCGGTATCCTGTATTACCTTAGAAATATAGTAGGTTATGGACTTGTGAGGGGATTGAGGAAAATATCCCAAGAGAGAAGCTAACCCTATTTCAACAGGCTGAGATTCTTAGGTTTAAGGAGGTCTTCCAAATGAAATTATTCTTTCTCCCTCTCTGACAGAAGACACCCTGTCAGTTCAGCAAAGCTGTGGGTGTGTGAAACTGTAGCTGTTTTAATGCAGAGTTCTGGGGTCCCTTGCTGTAATCACCCAATAATTTGTTACATTCCTTGTCTTATCCACCAAACAACTAAGCACTGGGTCCTTCCAGAAAAGAGACAGTAAACTTATTTTTTATGTTATGAAAGGAAGGTGTGGGTATGAATTACTCCAGGAGAAGAGGAAGGTGGAAGTAGTAGAAATCACCTCAGAATCCTGTTCTTTCTCCCCAGGTTTCCTCTATAACAGCAACATGTAATTCAGCAGTTGTTTGTTAACATTGTCTTACTCACCACTTGCAACCCACACCATAACTAAAATAAACTCAGTCCCACCTAAAATCAACTTGGTCAGGTCCACTGGAAGGCGTGATAGAGTGGGTGGGGAACTGATAAAGCACCTGGCTGCCACAGTCACCATACCAAAAGGGCTGGGAACCACTGTATTATGGTCACCACAAGCCTGGTTGAAGAACTTACCCAGTGGTCCTATTATTTAAAATCCTTTTATCCCATCTGCATGCCAGTGCTGGATATGCCTAGCAACAAATATACAGATGAGAGCCAGTGTGGTGTAGTGGTTAGAGTGTTGGATTAGGATCTGGGAAACCCAGGCTGAAATATGCACTCTGCCTGGAAGCTCACTGGAAGACCCTGAGTCAGTTACTCCTCAGCTGCACCCTGCCTCACAGGGCTGGTATGAATGGATGGTGAGATGAAAATGTGCTAAATAACTAACACATTTGAATGCCTTTAAGCATTGTATCCACTAACCACATGATACATTTGTCCCAATTACATCCCTAGGTCAGGTCAGCAGATGAGCTCAGAGAGTCTGCACTAGCATTCGGCATGAACCACAAACTGTGGTTTGGTTCGTAGGCAAACCACAAACCAAGCCATGAACCCCAAGAATCCAGTTGGCTCTCATATGAACCGAACCAGGTTCCTGAGGTTCCTGTGCCCGAAACAGCTGAGCTGTGGGGACAGCCTACTCTGCACAGTTCAGCTGTTCAAGGCGGCTTTCTTGGGCAGCTAGCCCCAGCATATAAAGTATATAAAAGGTCAATGGAGAATGTATTACCATTGTGGGAGTATTAGAAGCAAATCCAGCTTTCTTAATGTTGGAGACAGGCATTCTCACTAGGGACATTTCAAATTTCTCTGTGAACACATTTGATAGTTGAACTTAAGGTAAAGTAAACGGTCCCTTGCTCAAAATCCAGTCAAATCCGACTCTAGGGTTGCGGTGCTCATCTCCATTTCAAAGCCGAAGTGCCAGCGCTGCCCGAAGACATTTCCGTGGTCATGACTAAACACCAAGGCGCATGGTACGCTGTTACCTTCCCACTGAAGTGGTACCTATTTATCTACTTGCAATTTCTTGCTTTCGAACTGCTAGGTTGGCAGGAGCTGGAACTAGAGACGGGAGCTCACTCAGTCATGCGGCACACTCAGGTCTCGAACTGCTGAACTACCGACCTTCCACAGCGTTTTAACCACTTGAGCCACCACAGCTCCATTAGTTGAACTTACTGTGTCGTAAATTAGCAATCAGATGTGAGCTGATCACTGAGTCTGTCTGGTTCATGCTGAGCAGATGAAAATGCCTGCTGAAACGGTTTGCATCAGATTTCCCCAGAACTGCATATGTGTAAAGACGCTGCTGATTCAAACTAGCATCACTAAGGACTACTTAGATGAACACCGAAGGATAGGATTTTATTGAAACACAGCATGTACTGATGTCTGATTAATATGAATTGTGACTGATCTTAATTGTCTATTTAAACAATTATCTGCTGAACAGAACAATTATTCAGCAAGGACAGGGAAGTAGTAGACCTCAATTGGGCTGTGTGAGAATCTGCATGCACAAAGATGTACTGTTCTGCACAGTTAGCAAAGAATACAGTGAAACAACCTGTTGAACACCCACAAACAGACTGACAAACTGTCAAACTGATAGTTGAACAATCACATCTCTATTGTAGTATGAATGGGAATATAATTTATATGTTTTTTTCTTCTTGATTGTTCATATTTATTTTTTTGGTTTTATGGATTTCTCTTTTAAGTAATATTTTATTAGAATGTAAAGAAAGGCCTGTTATATAGAAGGCTTTCCCCTTGTAGGTCTGATATTGTTAACAGACAAGATAATAGGTACAAAGTTCATGATTCTGTAGTTCTTAAGGGCAAAACCTTGTAATGTCTGGGAAGACAAGATTTTGGTCTCATATCAGGAAAAAAACACTTTTGTTTAGGGTATGAAGAATCCTTCCACATTATCATTTTAGGTTAGGTTAAGTAAACACTTAGATTTTGCATAGATTTTACATCTCTCTTTACATCTGGCCAATCAGAGGATTATTATTCATATTACCATTGTCTTTTATAACCAATTATGCTTTTTGAATATTGTTTTCTTGATGATGTCAGTCCATGTATAAAATATCATGTATTTCCTGAATATGCTCAGAATATGCTCAAGAAGAAGAAGATGAAGAAGGAAGTAGTCAATTTTTGATGAGTTATTTGGTCCAATTGTTTTCCTGTTAATTGAAGCATATTTCCTGAATATACTGAGAAGAAAGTAGTCAATTTCGGATGGACTATTTGGTCCAACTGTTTTCCTGTTAATTGAAATAAAACATAGATCTTCCTCCTCATTTGACTTCATTTTTGACATGGAATCTAATATGTACAACACTATTCACAACTGGCGAATAGGACATGAGTGAAACCGGCACGTGTTCAAGCATCCCTAATTCTTACTTTACAATACAATATTGAACAGTAGCCTATTTCACTGATCCCCAAAATGAGGAGATAGATAGATAATGAAAAAACATGTGATACCAGTGTGTGCCTGTGGGGACAAGTTACTGGTAAACTTATATAGAAGGAAGAAAAAGTGTAATAACATTTAAGATGCACTGGCCTATTCATATAAAGTGCTCATAAAAGACTTATAATTATTATAATCAATTTCATGTTTTCTGCTACTTACATTGCTATAAGTGATGGATTGCCCACAAATGCTTGCTCAGGTATTGACTTGATATTATTACTATGAAATCCCCTACAAATGAAACAACAGGTAAGTATGCTGGAAATATTAGCTCTCTGTGAAAGCCACATTTCATATTATATTGTACAGTAACATGAAATAAATGACAAAAGCTGCATCAATGAGTTTCCTTTTGTTTCCTGGACACTATTGACATAGGAATGGATGAATACATATGATCTGGATCGATATGGCTGGACAGCTGAAATTTTGTTGTAACTTTGTAACAATGCCCCCTTTTTTCTCATACCCATAAAACCTGTGCCCCTGTAAATAGCAGCATGATGAAATATTTTGTAATGCTGCACCAATGAAACAGCTGGTATGTCAGATACATAAACATAGTCAAGGGAGCCAGTGTGAAAGCCACATTTCAGTGTGAGGCAGTGGCTATGGCTGGCTGACAGCAGCACATCAGATCGTTTTGCTTGGCTCTGGCAGCACTGCTGGGGCCAGAAGTCAGGCAGAAGGCTTCTGCCCATCACCACCTTCCAGATTTCCACACGCTGAGTACAAGGGGAATCTCTGAGGTGTTGGAAGGGCTGCCAGGGCTTGGTTTGCTCCAAGCCTTACTCCAAGTTCAACCACCCTCCCTGCCTGCAATTTTGTTTGCCAACACACCAGCATCTTCACAGGTACACATTCCATTTGTCATTCCAAAAAGATTGCCCACATCTAAGTGTTGGACTAAGAGTGGGAAGACCTAGGTTCAAATTCCTACTCTGCCATGAACTTCACTGGGTGACCATGAGCCAGTCACACTCACTTTCACTCAGCTTAGTCTATCTCGCAGGGGTTGTTGTGAGGATAAAGGTGTGAAAGGGAGAACCATCTATCCCACTTTTACCTTCTTGGAGGAATGACAGTATAAAAATTCACGGACAGCTGTCAACATTATGCATTTCTACTGAAGCAAGTTTATGCAGCTTGCAGCCTGATCTCACACGTGCTTATTTATTTATTTACTTCATTTAAAAAAGATAAAGTGTTCTGTTGAGTGGCAGCCAACTCCTGGTGACCACATGCAGTTCTACCTTATGGGGTTTCTCAAGGCAAGAGATGAGCAGAAGTGGTTTGCCATTGCCTTCCTCTGCACAGCAGCCCCAGTCTTCCTTGCTGGTCTCCCATCCAAGTCCCAACCTGGCTTAGCTTCCAAACTCTGACAAGACTGAGCTAGTCTGAGCTATTAGGGCTGCTATTTATTCCATTTATACTTAGTCTTTCTCCCCAGTGGGGACCCAAAGCTATCTATCTACCTATCTCAAACTGTGCTGGAGACGACTCACCTATTCTCCCATTGGCCACAGGGGAAGCTGCCTTGATGTCCTGTTGGCCTGTCCCACCGGCTCCTCCATTCTTACACTCCCACTTTTGACGCATTGCACCTTAGGAATTGTAGTTCTCAGCTGGCTATACTGCAACCACAGCAAAGGGAATTAGAACTACAACTCCCAAGCTGGGAGTACCAAGAGGCCATGGGACATTAGCAGGGAGTCAGTTAAGCTGTTAATCAGTTAAAGCAGTTAAAGTGCTAAACAGGAAGCAGCTCTGGAATTGAAAGGTGTTCAGGGGAAAGGGAAGGCCTGGACATCTCTCTGAATTACAACTGATTTGCATACTACACAGATCAGTCCCCATGGAGAAAACAGTTACTTTGGAGGGTGAGCTCTATGGCATTATATCTCACTGAAGTCCTTCAACAAACCTCCCCTTAGTATTGCCAACTGATACTCTATGGTATTATACCCTGCTGAGGTCCCTCTCCACCCCAAACCCTGCTCTCCCCAGCCTCTGCCCCTCAAATCTACAGGTATTTCCCAACCCAGAGTTGGCAGCCCTGTAACTGGCTATGGAACCACTTTCCAGACCCAGAAAACATGGTATAGGAGGAGGTGCTTTTCTACCTTAGCAGCCACTGCATAGCCCCAAATCAACATAAGTCAGGGGTGGAGGGAACCATACCTATTATCAGCTCTCCTCCCATACTACCCACTTGGGGCATCAAAAAGACTTGAGAGAGCCCTGCCTTATAGCTAAGCAGAAGAAAATAAACATGGCTCACCTCCCTCTATCTTCCCCCTCCCTTCACCACCCCACCAGTCACAGCTGGGACACTCACCTGAAGCCTCTTTCTAGAGCTCGTTGTATTTCTTCCCACAACAGGTCTTACTCCTAGTCTTATATAATTCTCTTCCCTTCCCCTTTATCTTCATGACAACTCTGTGAAATAGGTTAAGATAAGGACTGGCCCAAGCTCACCCATCATGTTTCCATGGTAGAGTGGGGATCTGAACCTGGAAGTAAGTCTCACTTGGTTTAATGAGACATCCCAATGGAAGTATACATAAGATTTGCAGCTTTAGGCAACTATCCTCATCTTGCTTTTTGGACAAAACTTCAGCTAAAGTTAACAGAAGTTCCAAGTAAATGTGTTTTGGATTGGAATGCCAGTATCTGTGAGTATGCATAAGATTCAAGGGTCTATTGTACATGTTAGCATTTAACGTGTCTTCTTTATGAAAGTATTTGAAATGAACCAGCTAAACAATGTAATTACTGCTATTTTAAAGAAAGGAGCAGATTGTCTCCAAATTAATTACTGCATTTTATTCACATGAGTAATAATCTATTGTTAAGAACAAAAGAAGCAACAAAGTATTCAGCAGGGCCAGTAATGATTTGTGTGGGAAATGTTCATTTGTTCAATCAGGTATGAAAAAGCTTCCCAGATTTAAACCAAAGCACTGGATGGTTCACTGATGCGAGTACCTCTTATTCATTGCTTGGGCAAGTTTATCAGCTGGGGCTAGTACAGTGGCTGGCTCAGCAATCTGGCAGCAGAAGTAAATTGTGTTCTAGTCAAAAAGGCTAAACAGTCTAAGTACGAAGACAGAATGTAACACTGATTATTCTTGCAGATTCCTATACTTAATATACTCCCTTGCCCCCCAAAAATGTTATACTGCTTTATTTTCGTATTTACTTAAGATGGAGTTACATGTTGTGTATTTCTGTGATGTTTTTCCTGAAGTCCTTTTTTGTTGGGGGTGGGGGTGGGGGTGGCGGCGGGGCAGTGACTGTGATTTAAAGGAACAGGCAAGTGGGGGAGGGTTATTTAACTCTTCCCTCTTATATCTTTTCCCTGCTGAGAATTCCTACCCACAAGCTCCTTTTAATCCCAGATAGGAATATGTATAAGTATTCATATTTTCCCCAGATAAGTTAAAAACAGTTTGGGTATTGTGATGTTTGCAGTAAAAAGGGGAAAGTTTGAAGGGCCCCCCCCCAATACACTGGCCTTCCTTGTTAAATCATAGCCTCTGTGTTTGCAGTCGCTAAAAACAACCACAACCGCAAACTTTGGGGAAAATAATCATGAAACCACATCAAACATATAATAAAAAATTAGGGTTGCCAAATCCAGATTGGGAAATTCCTGGAGTTTTGGGGGCAGAGCCTAGGAAAGGCACGGTTTGGAGAAGGGAGACCTCAGCAGGATATAAATCCACTCTTCAAAGCAGCCATTTTCTCCAGGGGAACTGATCTCTGTTGTTTGAAGATCAGTTGTAATTCTGGAAGAACTCTAGGTACCTCCTGGAGGTTGGCAACCCGAAATGTAACAGGAAAGTACACTGAAAACAGAACAGTGAGCATGCAGACTGCAGAGTGCAGACAAAGTAGCTATTTAACCAGCAGGCAACAATAATGTGACTTCAACTTATACTTAATGCTCATAACCTATCAGGCTATTTTTAAATGTGCAGGGTGTATTTTTGAAAAATGTGGGGAACAATCAAATATTTGATGCCCGCTTGTGGAGCTGTAAGTGATGCAGACCAGCAACAGATGCATTGTATCAGCTTGCTGACTGTATGTTTCAAGTATTTAAGGAGATGAAGAAAGTAGGGTATGAATAGGGGGTGGTAAAAAGGTATTATGCTGCAGGTAGATGTGGCTGGAACAGAAGGAATGAGAAATTGGGGGGGGGGGAATACAGGGCATGCTATGTGAAAGTGTATTACTAAAAATAAGTATGGCAGCCCTTTTGAATGGCTATACTCTGAGTAACTGGAAATAGCATACAAAACTAACGTAACCTAAAAATGCAAATGAGAAGTTACTCGAACTCAGGGAAAAAGAAAAGCTTTAACAGTAGGAACAAGAAAACAGGGTTGCACTTACCTGTAACTGTTGTTCATCGAGTGGTCTTCTGTGCAGGCACACACTGAGGACTGCATGTGTGCAGGCCAGCCATGGAAAAGATTTCCAAAGCTTTCTAGTAGACTAGGAATGCTCCTCCTCCCTCAGTTCTCTCCATGCTGCCACCAGAGACCCCAAGACACTAAGGTTCCAGAGAGTTCACAGCGGGGCAGGAGAGAGGGATGTGTGCCTGCACAGAAGACCACTTGATGAAAATAGGGTTACCTGTAACTGTTGTTCATCAAGTATTCTCTGAGCAGGCACACATGGGACTACGCATGAGCAGGCGTCCCTATTGTTGTACGCACCGCCACACTATGGAGAGGTTTTACAGCTTAACATCTTTAGGGATCACTGAGCACCAGAGCTGTAACTCCTTTTCTGCCGGGGACCGTGTGTTCCTGCACTCCAGAGCCCCCACCCTCAGCACCTCTAGCACCGCAGAAGCAAGAGAGCATGCAGCAGGGTAGGAGGGAGGGTATGTGTGCCTGCACAGAAGATACTCGATGAACAACAATTACAGGTAAGTGCAAACCTGTTTTCATCATCAATCTTCTATGCAGTCTCACATGGGGATTCTAACAAGCTACTCACCAGGTGGTGGGAATGCTCTCAGCACTTGAACAGCAAATGAAGAACCACTTTGCCCACCAAAGCTTCTTGTCTTGCCTGCAGATTCAAAGTGTAGTGGTGCATGAACGTGTCTACTGAAGACCACGTGGCAGCTTGGCAAATCTCAGTCAACAGCACTCCCTCAAGGAATGCTGCGGAAAAAGCCATCGCCCTAGTTGAATGGGTGCATATGTTTAAAG